ACTGCTTACATTCAGGCTTCTTATGAGTTGCTGCCAGAACTTTAATTGAGTTGTTCAGGCTTAATGAATATTTATTAGAAAACATTTAAATCATCCATTTGCTACAAGACTGAAGTTCAATAAAACCACTGCAGGGGCAATGTTGCCAAAGCTGCTGACGTGGGGAGAGGATTATTTCTAAGACTGTCATTACAGGTTCCTTTGTATTTTTATAGCTCAAGCATTGTGAGTTAATAAATAAGCAAATACCTCCTGCTCAGAGAAAGGGTGGGCAAGCTGGCAAAAAAGTGGTCTTTCTGAGGTTCACAGCCTCCAGAGGCTTACAGGGGCCAGTGTAACTTCTCAGTTGAAAAGACTCACAGTTTTTGAGGCACAAAGAGAAATTCAGTTAGGCTCCACTTGATTGTATTGGGAAAGACAAATTCAAGTGAAAGGGCAAAGGCAGAATCTTTATTTTGGGTTCCTTATAGTTCTTTCTGTGAGCAGAGCATTGAGCATGAATGGATGCAGATTCTTTCTTAGTCATCCTCCACCTTGTCAGCAAGACTGTAAGCCCCCTGAGAGCAAGAGCCAAGTTTCTTACTTCATCACCTGTGCTTTTCCCTTAGCCTGGAGAGGAAAGAAAGAGTGTATGCCCGCCCCCAACAGTCTTGTCCGGGTGATGCTTGGTTATAATGATAAGGACTGTGAAATAGCTTGGTTATCTTGTCAAGTCAAATGGATTTGTGAAACCTCAGTGCTGAGGATGCTAAGAACGTGGCAGTAGGTCTGGGGCAATGATATACCCTGCAGCCTCCTTTTATCCTCTCCTACAACAATGGCCTCCCAGGGAGCCTTTTGGGTAAGTCCAAGTGCCCTGAGTCCTTACTAAATATAAATGGCTCGTGCATGGTTCTTAGTGTCAGATGAATAGGAAGTCTCCTAACAAGTACCACATTCTTCTACTTCCAGTTCTAGAGGTAAGTTTTATTAATTATCAGTGCCACCCACTACTCTCTTCTAAGACTTGCCTTTCCTTTAGTCCAGAATGATAGAGTTGGAACTTTAAGTCCTTCCAGTACCCCCAGATTCAAAAGAATCCTGATTGCATGCTAAGCTCTGTGTGTACCCACAACTGAATGCTAACATATTGCTGCTGAGTTTCATATCTGCTAAGTGATCTAATAATAAATTGGCATCCAGGAAGGCTAGTCCAATAGTGTGAGGGTAAGAGGAGAGAAGTATGGCCCAGAGTAGCTGAAGAGCTGGCTCAGGTTTTGAAACTCTCCAACTAATAATAGATTTTGATGGTATAACTGGTTTCTGACCCTTATGAGACAGCATATTCATGCATCTCCTACTTCATTGACTCTGGATTCTGAGGAATAATGGTTTTGCTATTTCTTCTTAATTTTTTCTTCTCCTCCTCTACGTTCATCTCCCCAAGTCATGGTCAACGCTTTTTCTCCCACCCAATATCAGGAAGGTGATTTACAGTACTGTTTCTTCCATGATCCCACCCAGGCTTCCTTAAATATATTTGCCCTGATCATATATGGATCTTAACAGGGAAAAACAAACAAACAATGTAGAGACCAAAAAGGCATTCTCATCTTGTATATAGGAGGAGTGTGCTATTTGAAGTTCAAGACCTTTTTGCAGACCTAGTTGACAAGTCTGACTCTATGTGTAAGTAAGATACAGTACACAGCCACCACGTGTAGTCTAATTTGAGAAAGACTATAAGTACCCCCTTTGCTTCTCCCTTCTTCCAAGGAGGAAAAAAAAAACCCAAATCATACCTAAACCCAAATCATACTTCACTAACATCTATCACTGTACCTGAGATTAGCTTCTCCTTTGAGATAAGAAATTGGAGTTTCTGTTAAAGTAGAAATTTATTATTTTGGAAGATCTGGGGACATAAATTGGTACAGTTAGTCCTCATTTGTTGATTGGTTCTGTGCCTTTAAGCAAAATGATAAAAATGGAACAAATTTTACCATAGACTAATCGATATAAACAAGAGTTAAGTTCCTATAGCATCTCATTTATGTTATAATGAAACAACGTTGAACAAAATAATGCTAATTGAGGCCTTGCTGTACTTGAACTGATTTTATCAGCCACCAAGGGGACCATCACTGTAATCCAGTCATTGAATCTGCCCCCTAGCGAATCAGTTCTCTTCTAATGGGACTGCTGTGGTTATGCTAATCAAAGGAAAAGAAAGCCACTGAAGAGTTTTAAGGTGCGAGTGGTTCCCTAGCGAATCGACATATGAGAGGGCATTGAAAATGGTGGTAATACGCTGAAGCCCACCAGCCAAATTAACTTGGTGTGTTATATCAGCTTACACTTCAGAATCTTCCAAGAGCTTTCCTTCCCCACACTCATTTTTCTTCCTCCTCAAGGACTTGTGTTCCTTTTTCCCTTGCTCCTAACCCCAGATATCTTTCTTCCTTTATCTCTTTAGCATCTCAACCTCACTCTTCTTTTCTCTCTTGGTTGCAAGTTATCTCCTTTTTCGTCCTCCTATCATTATCTCCTGTTTTCTATGGTTATCATATTATAAATCTCTATAGTGTTTATAGAGTGTTTATATTTAAACACTTGCTTTATTTATTGGATAACACTATATTCCATGTTTAGTATCTAAAATACAGACTAGACAATTAGCCTTTTGTTTCTTTCTCAGAAACAATCTAAGATTAATGTAGTCCTAAGTTTATTATTTTTCTCTCACTGTAGGTGAGAGGAGTAAAGATTTTTCCAATGACACATTGTTATTGTCAGTAATTAAGGTAGCAGCACAAAGCTGAGTCAATTGACTAAGAGTACTAGGATATATGCTTTGTGATGATATAGGAAAGGAATTGGGAGTGTTTTTGAGGCTTACGAGTCCTGAGTTTGGGCACTTTCATGGGAGGTCAGATCTGGAGATGCGAGAATTGGGACCAAGGTTAGGGCCAAAGGGTAGAGGAGACAGAGAGTGGGAATGGAAGGCCCTGAAGTCAAACTTTCTTTGCATATGAACTGAGGTCCTGCTTCTTACTGTTTGTAGACACTGTCTCACTGTTGGTGGTTTCTACAAACCTAATCTAACGTCTTGGTGGTACAGTTCCACTTCTGACTGCAGTTGCAGTTGGGGTGGGGAGAGGCATAATCCTTTGTGAAAATCACCAGTGAGGTGACTGTTATATTGGCAAAGCTTCTTGTGGTAGGTAAATTAGTGAACAACTACTTCTTGGCACCTGCATCCAAACAAATTTTACACAAAGCACAGAAAGAGAATTATTTCTTTACAATTTTATTTACAAAATGTATTAAAACTTTGTACAATACCTCATGGCAATGAGGCTCCGTAATTTATGCCCACACATGCAATTTACGCTTTTACAGCCATTAGTTTGCTTGGCAATTTTTCTGTTCACTGAAGTACAGCTTTAACAACAAAAAGAGAAGAATTGGAAAAAAAAATCCTCAAGTGACTACCGCCAAACTCCCATAGCTTGAAGTTAGTAGCAGAAATTTGAAGCAATCAATTTTTTTAAACATGCAAGTTTTTAAAAAATAACAAACCAATTTATCTGCCTCTTCATTCTCAGTGAAGTGTCCTCTCTGAAAAACTGATTTGAGTCAATAAACATACATTTCTCTTTATACAGTGCCTATGCAAACATTTGTGTGTAGGTTGGTTGGTTTGTTTTATACAACTTCATAATCGCACAGCATTAGCTTCCCACACTGGGACATTACAGCATTCAGAAGTTGAAAATCACAGTATCATGAAAACAAAACAGAAACACAACAGCTTTCTTTTTGTTGTTGTTGTTCAATACCATTTAAAATTTGACAGGTGAGTTATTCGCTTTTGACACACTTTTTGGAATGAAAGTTTATATTACACTTTTCTGGAATCATTTCGTTGGAACGAGACTTCTTCCTTTCTTTTCTGAAAACGAGAGCAAATATGCAGCGAGTCAACTAAGCATCTAAAGGTCACACTTAGGAAATAAATTCAAGCTCCTAGTTTTTGCAGCCTGGAAACTTCCCAATGTATGTCACTGATGAGAGCAAACTACTGAACTACAGAAAGCATACGTTGTTATATAGGAGCTAATTAGTGAGCAGAGAGTATTTCCTCTGACTGTTCTGATGATGCCAACGGCAGGTACACAATTAGTTACTTGATAGCCCATGGAGCAGTGGAGCAATCTGAAAGAGTCAGTAGAGAGACTGCTCCAAGCAAGGACCTGGGAGTGATGCTGAGGTCCTCAGTTTAGCAGTAGGTTTGGGAATGCATTTTATTCTTTGCAAACTAGAAAAGGACACATGCAATCTGACAGAGAGCTGCGGGCAGTAACAGGCAACAGCTGGTAAGACAGACCTAGCAAGAGTAAAGTCAGATTGAGAACTGTGGTCTGAACCCACTGGCCCGCCTTGCAACACAGTCCTGTCTCAGTGGTGTACACTTGAAAGGCATACTTAGCAGAGAAAGCAGAGCTAAACACAGTGTTGTTTCTGAGATATTCTAAACACGTTTGGGAGTATAGGCAGCATTTCCCTCACCTCAATGCTAAATACTCAGCTATTTGATTTAAGATGCACACTGAAGCAAGAAAAACATCTGTGGGTTGAAATTCCAGGCTTCTTGGAAAGCCCCGGGGATCCGTTTTAGGAAAGCACCGAGAGGTATGCCTGATTATGCCCCATCCCTCGCTACACACAAAAGTCAATTTCGAAGACTCTGTTCATCCCTTCACTGAGTGGGAAGTTATCAAAGCATTTTCACAAAACCATTTCAACAACACAGAGAAGTCACGGTTTAGTCCCTTTTTGTTCAAAGTGTTTGAATTTTCTTAATTGTTGCATTTACAGTCTAAAGATATACACATTTCAGCAACGTTGAAAGGAAATAGGGTGCACAGAAAGAACAGCATCACCGACAGGAAATACCAAAAACATCTGGTCAGCAGATCCTAGAAGAAATGCCAGTCTGTCTTCCCACACACAGGGAGTCAAAGATTTTATTTTCAGGAGAAATTATTTTAGCTAAGATGGGCCTATTCGCTGAATTGGAATTTTAAATTTGTGTGTGTGTATTAAAGAACATGGTGTTTGTATACTGTGCAGTGGTATCAAAGAATGGCTTTTGTTGAATTGACTTTTTTAAATTTTATTCACATACTGGAATCTTGCATGTCCATTTTTTTTGTTGGTTTTATTTTAATTTTTTTCAAGCAAAGCAAAAAGATTTCAATGATGGTTTGCATTGTCGTGAGTCTCAGAGTGTTCCATAAGGCACTGAAGGAAAAAAAAAATCAGTTTTTCCTATTGAAAGGTCATTGCACCATCAGCAATATTCGTGTCATGCCCGACACCAAGGAGAGTGAAATCTGGCTCAGGATCCTTGAAGCAGCCGTGTTTTCGGTGATTCCTCTTATCACATGCTTCTGGTGGGAGGGGATCTGCAAAGGCAAGGGGGAAATTTAATTTGAATGGGCTTTTTATTGGGAATTGGGAAGTTTATTATGGCTCAGCCTATCTTGGACAAGAACTGCAGTGGTTTTCTCAAATTGGCACCTCTGGGGCTGCACCTGGTTTGACTGGCTTTAGGTAGCAGGTCTGTTTAAATTCTTTCACCTAATGCAAGTGCTTTGTAGTAAGTTAATAAATTCGGTTCCTTCTCTGCTATGTGTTGTACTAAGGAATGTACAGGCATTGCGTGAAGTCTAACTCAAGATGTTAGTCACCTAGGACATCGGTATACTAGAAAGTCTTAGTAGTATTTAAATGTAGACGTTCCGGACAACTGCACTTTGGAGTACATTTCTAACAGCAGAACCTGTGACCAAGGACTGTTTACCTGGTATAGAGGGTACGTAGTATTCTATGGCTTGCTCAATTGAAACCCATTTGGCTGTGAGAAGAAAATTTGCTGCTCATTGCCAGAAAGGTTTCTGAAAGGTTTGTTTCTCTTAATACCTACAGCCTTAGTTATTAAAGTCTGAACATAACACGGAGATTCTTAAGAGAAAGCATATTCCAGGAAAAGGCCAGAACAGTGATATCCATGAAGGGGCTTGGCACCCATGGGGTCTTTGCCTTGATATTGTGGGCTGATTGAGATGCTGATGTCACTGTCCTCTTGGAGGCATTACTTAGTGCAGACAGTTAATTCGCTCTTGGCTCTGAAAACTTGAGGTCATTTTATGGTCTCCTCTTCAGGTTCACATCCCTCCTCTCCATCCTTTTGCTCTACACTAATGGGACCCTTCTTCTCCTGAGCTAGCAATGAAGTTTACCCCAAAAGAATGACATAATCATTTTCTACCACTGGCCCTGGAATGAAAGTATCAGTAATAAGACTATGAAAGATGCACCTGAAGGCTGAAAGCCCCAAAGAGGGCAGAAGAAGACTAAGATGAAAATGGATAAACCTTTTCCTTGGGATGCTCAGACTCCTGAGTCATCTCAGTGTCAGATGCTTAGAGAAATTTTATATTTAGGGCAGAAAGATCAAAGTCTCCTCCCTTCCCATTGGCCGTAGCGTGTCATTCCCTCACTGTATAACTTTGGGAAAGCCACCTAGTCTCTCAGTACCTCTGTTTCCATCTTTTAAACGGGGATAGATGGCATATTATCACTGAGGTAAAAGTCCTCTGGGAGCAAAGAACATCACCACTTCAGTTATCCAGAATGTTTTTTTGATTTAACATAGGGTAAAGTCTTTAAGCAGGAAAATTACCCCAGCAAGAATGCCTATGCATAGGCTGCAAAAGGAAGGTTAGTGACTTTGAAAACGGGCTCTGTGAACAAAATTAATATTTCCTAGGCAGACTGTCTTAGAGGAAAAATGAAACTCTTTTCCTTCACTTCAGCATCTTGAAGTCTTGAAAATGAGAAGGATTTCAAAAATATTCTTGAAGAAACCAGAGAAGGCAGAAGTAGTTCTGAACAGTAATGAAAAAATTGGAAAAGATTTCTTAAAACAATTAGCAGTGAATCTGAAACACTTGGCAGTTGGTCACTTGCCAAGGCATGATTGGGGGCCACAGTTCCAGTGGTACATCAGTAACTCAGAGAGGCAGCAGGTAGTCAAGGGGCCATCTGCTCCTTAGTGGGTGCTGGATCTGGGGCTGAGGCACGTCACCTCACAAGGAGTCTAAAAATCCTGACTCAACTCTCACCCATAGAGGATTTCCTCCTCTTTCAAGGATGCCTTTTTATTAACCAGATTTCACCTGGATCATATTTTTGCAGGTGCTTTGCCCTTGGGTCATTTTCCCTGAAGAATTAATGGTACCATAAACTTCCAAGTCTGTCTTTGATAATTAGCAATAAAAGTTAAACTTCAGGGTGCCTCTTCATCTCTGTGCCCCCGAGTAGACCCTGACAGATCTAGGCCAACTCCTTGAACTGGAAACCTAATAACTAGGCAACAAATTAGAAGTCACTAGCAGATATTCCAGAACTTTTGGGGAAATAAAAGATGAATGGATGAAAGGCTTCCTGTAACCAACATTCCTCTTATATTACATCACCAAACTGGCTGAGGACAACAGAGAGATTTCTATTTCAGGCTCAGCCTGCTTTGTGCCTCCTGACTGGCACATGTAAGGCTTTTCCAGCATCCTCCGAGGCTTTTTCTTTTCTTTGTCTGGAGACTTTTCACAGGCTTGGAGGACCGATTTGTTTGCAGAGGCATTTCCCAGGTTTGTTTCTCATCTGAGGGGTGGTTGCCAAGGTGCTAGCTAACTGGGCTATAACCACATTGGCATTGATGTCAATTAAAATATGATTTTTGCTGTAAGTAGCCTGAATTTTGCTTCACAAAATGGATCAACCAAGATGACTAAATGGCAGCCAGAGCCAGAACTTGTGTCAAGTTCATTTCTACAGCTCTTTCCTCAGTTTTGATGTTTTGAGCATCTACTTTAGGATAACATTCTGCCCAAAGGTTTGCTGATGTCAGTTTCTTTATTTCCTCCCTCCCTCCCTGCCTCTCTCTCTCTCTCCCTCCCTCCCTTCCCCTCCTTCCTTCCTTCCTTCCTTCCTTCCTTCCTTCCTTCCTTCCTTCCTTCCTTCCTTCCTTCCTTCCTTCCTTCCTTCCCTCCCTTCTTTCCTCTTTCCTTCTTTCTTCCCTCCTTTCTATTTCCTCCTTTTTCCTTTTGTTCTCTCTTTTCCTTTTCTGTCTTCCTCTTCCCCCTCCCTCATTACTTCCCTTCTTTCCTTAAGTTATAGCTTTGAGATAATTTTTTCTAAAATATTACTACTCCCTGGACCAGCAGCATCAATGTGATCTGGGACCTTGTGAGAAATGTAGACTCTCAGGTGCTATCCCAGACCAATTGAATCAAATCTCTGGGTAACTTTTATAAGATCCCCAGGTGACTCACATGCACACCGACATTTGAGAAGCATTGCTCTGAGGTTTTAACAAGAGATTGAGGCTGTAATAGTTGGGGAGGAGGGACCTAGATTCTCAGATGGAATGGCTGGTAGTGAAGAGGGTCTGAAGGCTATGTGACCCTGAGCCTTGATACCCTTCTGTTTCAGTAACATTCTTTCTGGGGTAAGTAGGAATGATTGCATATACAACCTCATGTAGAGTGCATAAATGGGGCATATGGAGGCTTGGTGAAGTCAGTCCCTCAAGACTTTTTGTAAACAAAGTGGAACATAAACCTAGGATCTTATCTCTGTTTGATAGGATCCCATTGAGATTTCAACGTTCCCAGAGACTACCAGGTCATGGGTGATTAGAGGCAACATGATTTAATAAATAACACAGCTATAGGAGAAAGAAGGGCTGGGTTCTAGTTTCAGAACTGCTACTACCTAGTTGTGTTGCCTTGAACAATTACTCGGTGTGATTGGGTCTTAGTTACTTAAAATGGAAAATACTGTCTGACCCATTACCTCAAACGATGCAATAGAGTTGAGAGCACTTGGGAAATGCTAGGCAGATTTTAGATGTATTATTTCTTTGGATGCCAGTATCTCAGAATTTGGGATAACTAAGCTAAGGTGAAATTATGTACCATTCTATGAAAAAGCAAATAATATGCCCCAAATTGTAATGGGCCTATATAACTTGCTCAAGAATAAAATATTTTAAGCGCACCAGCACATTAAATGCTTGCATGCAAACAGTGCTAATTACAGATGAATCCATGTACTGTACATTCAGCAATGCAATGGGAACAGTTTGTTAGTGGGTCAGTTCAGTGTACTAAATACAATGTGGCAAAAGTTTGCAGTGTGCAACAGAAAAGAACAACCAGCAACTTCATGAAACAAGATAATGCTTTCCATGGTGAAGACAAATGATTCATTTTGATTATGTGTTATTTAAAAATTGGCTTACTTTAAATTCACAATGTGAAATATAAGTAGATCAAAACAGAAATAAAATGCATTTGTAGAAATTCAAGCACATTGACACTGATTCATGAGGTCAAAAATAAGGGCTGTGAAGCTGCTAAATGTTCTTTTCCACTGCAGAGAGGTGTGTTAGTGGTGACAGATGCACTTGAAGGTAACAAGACTATAATCTTTTATACACTTCCAGCATGAAAGCATCTTCCTAATTCAAGCTTGCCTTTGAACACATCTGAGTTATTGGTGGTGGTGGTGGGGGGGGGTTGCTATAGCTGCCAGAGTACAGAATCAAGGTGGCATCAGTCAGATTCATCTAAGTATGAATGTGGGGCAGCCAGCAGCAAGGATCCTACATTGTTCTTTGCTTACCTGAATATTAGGTCCAAGAAAGGGACAACAAAAGAACTCAAAGATTAAAGAAATTGTCTCAGGCTTATGCTTAAGAGGACCACTGATCCCTCATGGAAGCGTTGCATTTCTCAAGGTGGCAGTGCCCCATTTCCATTTCTCATTTTAACACCGGTTTCAGAGCAGCTGCTTTCTCTAGGGCTGCACTGTCCAACATGGTTGTCACTAGCTACATATCACTGTTGAATAGTTGATATGCAGCTAGTATGAGTTGAGATGTGCCATGAGTACAAAATATACCTGAGATTCTAAAACTTAGTATGAAGAAAAGAACATAAAGTATCTCATTTATTTTTATAATTATAACATGTTCAAAGGATATCTTGGGCTAAATAAAATATATTATTAAATTAATTTCATTTGTGTTACTTTTTAAAATGTGGCTATTAGATCACTTAAAATTATACTTGTGGTTACATTTATGGCTCACAAATATTTCCATTGAACGGTGCTGCTCTAGAGAATTTTTTTCCTTTTGGGTCACAGACCACAATTTAATTACAACTAGGCTACGAGAAAAGCACCATTGCCTGACAAGAAAGCACAACCATTGTTTTCAAAGAATCAAATGGTTGCAAAGAATAGACAATGCTCGAAACAATAAACAAAACCAAGAAACAGAAAAATAAAAAAGATTAACATACAGCGATGTAAGACTGATTAGTTGACTAGACCTTAACCGTACCCCTAGATCTTAACACTCTCTGTTCCATACACGTTGTAGCCTTCTCTGTATGTAGCGTAATTTTGAGTGTTGGTGGCAGGAGCAGGCTTAAAGTTTTGGGTGTTCTTTGTGAGTTTCATGCGTTTGGACTCTGCCCGTGATTTGTAACAGAATTCTATCAAAGCCACCATCATGGCCAGCCCCAGACCTCCGACAAGTATATAGAAAACGCCTGCCACATTGCTGAGGCTCAGAGCGCTGGTCTTGTCCTAAGAGAAATGAACAATACGATTAGTTCTTGGGGAAAACAAAGGCAATGGGACATTATAATATATTACAACAGTATAGGATAGTTCTAAGTTGTAAAATAACTAAATATTGATGTAAGTGTAATGACTCAACTCTGGCAACTGACTGATGTTTCACAATGGCCAGCAAGATGACAGATTGTGCTTCTGTTGACAGTTGTGATGCTGACCTATATATTCTTTTATTTGGACTCCTTAAATCGTTTAGTACTTCAAAGTAGTGTCAACAACTAAATAAAACAGTACTTGACCATGGAGCAAAAGTGTAAACACAAGCACAATGTATTTGTCTTCTAGACTCAATAAACACCATTTGCCAGAGTTGAGCTGTGACATAATCTCTATAAATGTAACACTCTCTTCATTTGGGAACTTGAAGCACTCTTTCCCCTCTCTGCCCCGCAACACCCCCTTTCTCCCTTGTTCTCCCTGTGACAAACTTGCCAACAACTAGGCTTTAAGATACCAGGTGAGACTATTAGACGTTCCTGATATTCTTATCTGGAGAGTTACTTCACAAGGGTTTGTTTAAGAAGGATTAACTCTCCCCTTCTGGTGGTTGAGAAATTGCTCCCTTTGTGGACTGGTTGCGAAGTCCTCATCCTCAGGGCAGCAAGTCTTTGTGCTGCTGGCACAAAGGCATGGCCCAAAGAATTGGCTCCCTTCCATCTTCCTGAGAGTTTAAGGAAACTGTCAGGAGGACCCGTTGGGTCCTGAATTGGCTCCATACAATGAGAAAGCTTTTCCAGGAGGCTGATGATTTTAAAAAATCCAGCTCATTTGCAGCTTTTACTCTAGGGAATGTAGCAAATAATTTTTTAAAAATACTATGTTTATCTGCTTTGTATTCAAAATAGGGGGAAAATTGAGGAAGCTGGTCAGTGACTTTCAGGTCAAACTGTGCAAATCTGACTGAGCTATCTGCCTGTATGAAAAAGCAAAAACTTAACTGCTGAACCATGGAAAGAAAAAAGTTGGTGCCTTGAGCCCTACCTTGAGGTAGGACACACCAAGGGCCAGGAGCCTTTCTTTGAAAAACATAAAATAAAATAGCAGTTTGTAGTCTTTTTAGAGGGAATGTAACCATTTTGCTGCTGAATGTAAATGAATGGAATACCCAAACTGGTAAGTCAGTGAATTGAGAATCTTATTCCAATGATAACACAGTGAGCAGATGATAGCCATTGCTGACACTCAACGCTCTGTGGCTCAGCTAGTCTTGGTATCATTTAAAGAATTAAATGATATAAAAACAATATGGCCTTGTCTTGATTCTGTTTTCATAGAGCCTGCCCTATACTTACTGACCTTAATGAAAAGGCCAGTTGGAATTGGATCACACGGTTGGGAAGGGATTAAGTGTATGCCTCATGTCTACAACAACCTTGCAAATAGTCATTCTTCTAGGATGAATAACAGCTAGACAAGTGGTAAGAATTTGTCACTTATGGAACAGGAGATCATTTCTTTAAAAAGCTGGTGAAGCTATCTCCAAGGATGTTCCACAGTTCATTAGGAAATGGACCGATTTCTGGTAACTGTCCCTCTGCCATGAGACTTTTATATGTATGTGGTATGTGATGGGGGAAAAGCATCCTTTGACATAACCTGTGTAGGTTGTAGCAGCAAGAACAGTTTCAAGTTCCATGTACTTAAGTGTCACAGAATTCCCTGTTGCGGGATGTAGAAAACCAGTAGCAAAATGGTTCACTGCACAGGGAAAATGAGTGGCATTTCATGAGATGAATTAACTGATACCACAATATTAGTTCAAATAAAGGAAAGGCAAAAATCGAAACTAAAAATAACTTTCTTAGGGGAACAAAGGGGGGCAGGAAGGAGGCAGGGAAGAGTGTTTCATGCTTATCAATGTGATGTCATCCTGACAATGTATACCCTTAAGGAGCATGCGACTAAATTTAAAAGGTATTATGTACAGAGATTCAAATGACACCTTTGGAAGAGACAAGTGTGACAGGCTTAATGAGATTCAAGATCCAAATAGATGCTGAACTCAATACAACAGCAGCTGGGAGGAGGCTAATCATTCTGCTTACAGAGACCAGTCTTTGTTATTTATTTCTGTGACTGTTTTCAGATGGGATTGACATAATACATTAATAACCAAAGGTATTTATGACTACAAAGTCTCTGATACTGTAAGAGGTTAAGAAAAAGTACTGTCAAGACTGGATCTTTCTCTCTCTTTTTTTCTTTTTTTGGCTGTTATTGTTATGTTTTCTCTCTGAACTTTGGAAATGTGAAATACAGTAAAACCCCTTTATAACACAGCTACTTATGTTACAGCTTTGGAAATGCAGTGGGCCAGATTGAGTCCCCTAATCATAACAATAGCTCTCTAGAGTCAATGGTTGATGTCACATGGCAGGCCTCTGAGGCCGGTGTTTGCATTATTCCTTTAACACTGGTGTTATAAAGGGGTCCCACTGTGTCAAGGAGTGTGTGTTGGGAAGGAAAGCCGTTTTAGGGTAGAAAATAAACAGTGGTTCAAAATGTGATTGCTAATCAGTACAAAAAGACCTTCAGCGACTGACCTTACTCCCGGAGTCCTTGGCTCCACATTCCCCCTTATCGTACCACCATTTGTTTTTCAGCTTGTCTAAGATGCCTTGTTCACTGAGTTTCAATACTGCAAGGTTTACAGGCGTTCTTCACGTGGGAAATAACATAAATAACATTATATTATGTTATTTTATGTTATTCAAGCTTCAAACTACTTTAAAACTATAGAAAGCGATAAAGCAGGGGGCCCTGGCCACAGAGTAATTTTAGACACTGCAGGCAACCTGAGCATTACCTTATAAAAAGTTAACACTACAGCAACGCTATATTTACCAGGGCCTGCCCATATCGCTTTGAGTAATCGGCACACACTGTTAAATAATGAGGATAGAAAAAAAGGCACTCCTCACATAGGCTGTGTGTGGTGAGGAGGGTCTCCCCTCAAGTGACAATCGTCGGCGGCAGCTTGTAGTAGCTTTGTGTTGGAGATGTGTTAGGTTTGATCTAACTGGGTGTCTTGTTGTACTTCCAGACAGAAAGCAAGTTCTATGGAGGAATGGGGAAGGGGACTGAGCCAGATTGGGAAGCACTTCATATGTGAAACGAGACAAAAGGATGAATCCGAACAGAAATAAAAGATTCTGCGTGAATAACATGTCTTCTGATTGATTATCTTTTATTACACAAATATGTTGCCCAGCTGAAAATGACCTCAGAAAGAATTGCATTCCGTACATGTCTTCACTCTACAAACTGAATCCCTACACACATCCTGGTTTTAGAGATAAAGTATAATGTGGACCTGTGCATTTTGGATAAGAAGAATACTTTCAACAGTGGGAGAACTGGCCTATGGATTATCTTTGAGTTACTGACTGGCTGTATAGCTGAGATGGTCCTATGTCTATGATCAACTCAGGTCACTGGAGGATGGACTGGATTGTTTACAACTAGATTATTAATATGGCATGACCTAAAACGGCAAATTGATTTTGTTACTGTGGGTAGCACTCTAGAGGAACAGTTTAAGTCAGCTGTTCTGGGAAGATAAGTCTTCCTTAACTGACAGGGTAATACTTCCCCAGGAGGCTGGGCCACGGCTCCTTAGTCTTCCACACCTTAAAGCATAAGGAATGCAGTTGGAGCCACTGGGCAAAGTGCAAGAGACTCTACTGTTCCTAGGATAAAGATTTTTCTCTCTTAGAAATTTCTTTAGCTATAAAATGGGAATAATGACCTTTACCCTGGTGGCTTTCTAGAGCTAATGAATTTTAAATAAAGTATCTCGAATAACTTTAGACAATTAATGCATTATATATAGAGGATGGCATAATTTTATTACTAGGCAATCAACTACTGTGTGTTCAGATTCATGGGAACAATATTCCCAATACCAGTGCATATTAGTTTGAATGCCACTAATTTACAAGGAGGAAAGCAGACACATTGATATAACTATGAGCATGCCATAGGTTTTCTTAGCTTCTTTTGGATAAGTTGGGCACACCAACATATCTGTCACTGACAAGATTTCCTGTAGTCGTAGTGATCCGACCTCTATCAGACTAAGTCCCCCAAACCTATTCCCTTTCTTCCCCATTTTGCTGTTGAGAGCAGAGGGAGCACATCAGCCTGAGATATTTTAAGAAATCTATCATCATTTAAAAATAATATGCAATTTCACAGTACTTGAGATTTGAAAAACTATAAACTTTTAGTGTCAGGGAGGTGACACTTTCTCAGTTAGTGTAGGACTTGGCAGCCAGAACATCTGCATTTAGTATCTCGCAAGGAAATTGAGGTCCTTCTTTACTTTAAGCAAATTCCTTCAGTCAATACTCACAGCCTTAGGCTTCTCAAATGCCAACCATAGATGCTTAGAACGCAAAGAAACAAAATATACTCAAAACTTTGAGCCTCTTTAAGATATTATAGGCAGTGAAAGTTAAGTCTTAGACTTTTAAAGGACAGACAGGCCATCTCTGGCCCTGACCTAATCCCTACTGTCTGGCTCCCTTCTCTCTTTCCTTCTCCCTATTATTTTTTTTTTGTTTGATCATGATCATGTGTCCCCCAATGCTATATGCCTTAAGCTGGGCACTGGCACCTAGGCTCAGATTGCAGGGGAGATGCTCTCCGATGGCATATGCGTGGCCCATTCCATCAGGACCACAGGAAAAAATACAAAGCACTTCCTTCCCCTGTTCTGTACTTCCTCTTTTCTAATTACAGAGGGACCAGCATACTCAGACTGCTCTTTAAGCCCTTAATAGCCTCTCTCCTCACTCAAGGTACTATGTTCTTCAAATTACTTCATTCAATTTCTTCAGTACAGCTCCCCTTACTATATCTTGGGAACAGAGCAGTCTGTTAAAGGCACTTACACCTAAGGTCCAAATAAAGATCTCTCCCTGGAGCTCTTGGGTTTTAAAGAAGTTTGTCAACTCTTAAATGATCTAGGTTGATAAAAGTGTGACATGTTAGTTTAGGGCAGTGGTTCTCAAAGCGTGGCCCAGGAATCCCTGGAGGATCTCTGAAACCTTTTCATCAAAGGGTTTATGAAGTCAAAACTATTTTTATAATAATATTAAGACATCTTTGCCCTTCTCACTCTTATTCCCTAATGATATAGAGTGGAGTTTCCTGGAAGTTATATGACATGTGCTATCACCACAGATTGAATAAACCAGTGGAAATGACAGTCCTGTTCTCTTATATTAAGTCAGACATGGAAGAGAGTTGCAAGAACATAGGACAATGTCACTTTTTGCTAATTTATTTTTGTTTTGGAAAACTGTAATTATTTTTTATAAAAGTACATTATGTTAAAATATTAGGTTTATTATTTTAATGCTGAATCAATGAATATGCTCTTTTAAAATTCTCCTATTTTAATTTTGGATATGCAAAATATTAATAGATAAACAAGATTTGGGGGATTCCCTATAATTTTTAAGTGTGTAACAGAATTCTGGAACACACAATTTTGAGAAGCACTGGTTTTGGAGGAGAGAAGGCTTTTCCTGTGCCAGGCCTATTCTAGGCTGCTACCATGCATAGGCTTAGTATGTTGGGAATTTAGCATCTTAGTTTTGATAAATGACCTATCTCTGCCTTAGCCCATCCAGGGGTTTTGACAGAATGTCTGGTAACTGCTCTCCACTCTCATGGCCTCCACATTACAGGAGGTTATCTTAGAGCAGTGATTCTCAGTTTGGGATCATTTTGTCCTCCAGAGGATATTTGGCAATGTCTAGAGTCATTTTTCACTGTCACAAGTGGGTGAAGGGATGCTACGGACATCTCGAAGGTAGAGGCCTGGTATGCTGCTAAACGCCCTACTATGGACAAGACAGCCCCCTCACAACTGAGCTCCAAGTGTCAATAGTGCTGAGGCTGAGAAACCCTGCCTTAGAGCATCCAGGCCTCATTAAAGCCCCCAAACTTGAGAGAAATCAGACAAATGATATACTCTGGAAGTTTAGTCTGATTGGAAAAAAATCACAGGGCTTATGAAATCTGGCAGAGAACCAATGTACATTTGGGAACTTCTAAATAAAAATGAAGGAGAAAAACAAACATTTCAAGCAGCAGCACAGTCAGGAGCATAAAGGCTGTAATGAGAAATCACAGATAATACCATTTAAAAAGTTTAGGATAGCTGCCAAGAAAAAAAATCTACTTTAAGGGCCAAATCTCCTACAGCAGTATGTTGCTGTGGGGTGGAATGTATTCCCAAGATAGCAGAGAAAAACTGCCATAATTTTCTCTCTTACTGTACCTTACTGGATGTACTGCTTAGCCCAGTTCAAATCAACCAAATCTATTAATACCCTTTCCCCAAAACACACACACACACACACACACACACACACACACACACACACAATTTGGTATTTCAAAGGAAGTGGAATTAGATGGGCATTCGGTCATTTTAATCACTTTTTTCGTGAAGCTGTTTTTGCTCCCTGCTCCAATATTTCCTCTCCCTTCCCTCATCTTGCTCCTTGCCTAACTATCTATGCCCATCTCTTGTAACTCCCACTACACTATGTACTTTTCAAGGGCAAGGACCATGGTTTATGTATTTGTATCCCCACTTAGAATAATAGCTCTCTCCATAAATATATGTTGAATAGATAAATCTGTTTTAGCATTTTGTTTTTCAACCTAGTACTTCATATAATTATTATAATAACTATTACTATTGGTCAATCTTAATGATCATTCTAAGAAGGCAAATTTATGGTCTCTACTTTTCAAGTAAAGGAATTGAAGTACAGATAGGTTAAGTGATCTGCTCAAGCCTGCACAGAAAACTATGGGGCGGGCCAGAAGGCAAATTAATATACATCCAACTCCATACTGTGCATTCTCCAATAGAACACACACAATGGTAGCAGTTCTCCTTATTTTTGTTCTTCGGGCTTGGATGTACATAATACATTTTTTTCTTGAGGGACCACTGCACTCCAGATAACTCTCAACCTAGCAAGGGCATATCTTGCAGCTGGGGCCTGTCACTGTGCTGTAGCAATATGTCTCCAGGGTAATGTTTCAGAGCAATTACTGCAGGTCCTTAACTGGTACCTAAGAGAAATATAAGTCAGAAATATTGATTGTACTCACCTCAGTAGAGAACAGAAAGAATTAAACAAAGTAGGTCAGATTCCTCTCATGGAAATTAGGCATTCTTTCCTCTGAAGGGCTTGCTATGAACTTTTTACTGAGGAGAACCCTCCTAAGACAAGGGCATGGGTGGCAGGCTTAGAGATAGAACAGGAGAGCTTTGTGATATAATTTCAGGGGGTCTGGGAATGTCTTTCTGTCCAGGAATATTTTTGTTATTTTTACCTAAAATTCCCCCATGAGAACTGCATACTTTGAAGTTGAAGCAACATTTTTTGTTAAAATACACAGGTTCTTAGGAAATGGGAAATGAAACAAAGAACTGTTTATAAACTCCAACTCTTTGCTCCATTTTGTTTAAAAAATGTTCAGGGTGGCAAAGACTGTAAAATTCCCCTAAGAATAAAGTGGTTTACTTAACTTAAGTCACAAACACGTACATGGATTGTTGATCAGATGGAGAGGGTAAAGGTAAATGTAAATTAGCCATTTAAAAGTATGGGAAGGTACCGCTGACC